GCTGTCGAAGAGTTTCCTGTTGCCTGTTGGGCCGCGTAAAAATCGATTCGCTCGCAATCGTCTATTGAGTTCGTACGTTCCTCTTTCTCTCTGCCTTTCGCGCGAGTTGATAAAATATGGGTACAGTCGGCAGACTATTCATCTTTCCGCGTATGGGTGAATGCAGGGCCAGCCTGGATTCGTTTTCAAAAAATAAACCTATTCTATCTTTATTAGTCTCTCTCTCTTTCTCTCTTTCTTTCTCTTTCTCTCTCTCTCTTTCTCTCGCTTTCATTCTCTCACTAGTTTCTTTACTATTATACTCCCCGAGTTCTCGGTAACATTCAACCACGATATAGTTTTGAGCAACCTCGACTGTCATCGTTCCTCGCCTCTTTCATACTGTCGCTTCACAGACACTCATCTACGATCTATGTAGTCGTTTACTATTCCACGCTCGCCACGTGATTATATTCCAAAGCACAGAGTTTGTTTGTCGTATGGTTTTGTTACATGTTTCTCCGGAGCCCTTTCAGATAGAAATTGTACTTAAATCAGTCAAGCGGTGTGCATTAAATGACGACAGAAGGAAACAACGCCCAAGTCGACGTCCGACGAAATCTGCGACTTACCGCGAACCTTTTTCTGCACGCGGTGTCTTCATCTGGAAAGAAAAACAACAGTGAGAACAATTTCGTTCGCAGCCTAGTTTCATTACTGAATCTATCTCTAATAGTCGAAATTGCAAATTAACCCTTAAATTAACCCAGTATCGTGTCAAACTCGTGGTGAAAGATTTCAAATAGAATATAACGAACATGAATATAACTGAATTCTTTCCAAGTCAAATGAAATATAATAATAATCTAAAATATATAAAAATATAGAAATAGAAATATAGAAATAATAATATATCATAGAAATAAAAATATAGAAATAGAAATATAGAAATAATAATATATTATAGAAATAAAAATATAGAAATAATAATATATTATAGAAATAAAAATATAGAAATATAATATAATATGGAAATAAAAATATAGAAATAGAAATATAGAAATAAAAATATAGAAACAATAATATAATATAGAAATAAAAATATAGAAATATAAATATAAAAATATAGAAATAATCCTTCTGTTGTCAACTATTACACTTTAAATCAAACAAAGACATAGAATATGCCGAAAATTCTCTCGTTTTCAAGAAACTACTAACGACAAAGTAGTCGTATCGATCATAGTTGAGAATGAAATCATAGGGCAAGTGGTTAATATAAATATCAGGCTAAGTACCAGTTAATGATTACTCTAAGAATCTGTCGGCTCACCTCTTATTTAAGCAGCTCAAACTCATCGGAAGTGGCTCCGAGCTCACAGAAGGGATGTGGCCAGCAATCGTCTCCATCAGCGGGTACCATTGGGCTACAGGTTGCCTCGGGTTGTCCAGCATCTCCAACCAATGGTCACGTCCAATGCCAATGAAACTGGATCCAATCGCTGTGCAACCCATCAGCTCGTTCGAGCCGATTCTGAGAAGAAAATTGGATGGAATGGATCGTCATTACCAGCTAGCGGCAGCATCGCGTGAGCCGGATTCGTTCGCGAACACGTTTCTGTCGGTTTCCCTTCACTCACCTGTCATAATCGATTACTTTTACTATAAGACTGACATCCCCAATGTTCTCCTCGGGCACATCGAACACAAGAGCCTCGTTGTACATAGGGAACAACGTGTTCTTCTTCACCGATGTCTTCTTCTTTTTTATCCTCTTGCCTTGACAGAGCAGGTACACTTTCACGTAAGGATCTGAAAGTTTATTTCGTCGAAGGAATTCTTATCTGCACAGAATTCGCCGGGGGAAAGCATCGGAGAAATCAACTTGCAGTGTCTTAGTGAACATTACCGATGATATCTAATAATGTTACATCCATCGATTCTCCGATAGGAAACCTCAGTTGGAATACATTGCTTTAAATGCATCGAATTACGCAATCGCGGACTCTATAGACGCTACCCGACTGGTTTATTCAACCACCGTGTTTTTACTTCCAATTACTACCATCCACGCAATTATTCACTTTGCATAATCATTCCCAGCCCCGCGTTCGATGGTGTGCAAAGAGTATTGTGTTAAAATAATAACAGCTCTGAATGCCGGCTAAGCAACCTCACGCTGCACGGATTGTCATTGCATAAAGTGTTACGTAATCCCTCGAGAAAAGATGTTACCAAACAATCGAGATCAATTTACCGGAGAATCCTGTTATGTCCATGGCTTTCAGGTTCCTAGCCTTGATCACGGTCACCGTTAGCCGGCCGGCTGTTGGTAGGTAGCAAAGCGATAGCATTAACTCTCCCAGATCCACTTTGTCCTGGAAGCACGCGTGTTGCCACGGTTACGGTTATTTCACAGAATCCCAAAGGATCCGATGCACGAGTGGCTTATTCTTTACCTGCATGGCGCACATGATGTCCATCATGTACTCGATTTCTTGGGAGAGATCGGTGCATTCCAACAACCCCTTGAACACCACTTGCCCGATAAGATCGTGCCGGGAGAATCGATCGAAATCGTACACCGAGAATTGGAGGTATCGTTCCCTCAGTTCATCGTACGACACGCTGATAATAGATTTCGACATTTTAATGTAACGCTTACTCTGTTTTCGTGATAAGCGGTGATAATTGAATACACTCTGCTCACCTGAAAATGAACGTCTCGTTGAACACCGGGTTCAGATTCTTCCGGTGCACTTTGGTCTGATACTTCTTCTTCCTGTCTGGCAACAGGTATATTTTTACGTAAGGATCGCTGCTGCCTGTCACATCTTTCACTGGCAGCTCCCGAGCATCTAGAACCTGTTATCAACAAGACGAACGCGGATACATAACAGGTAGGAATTTAAATATAGCGGACATTTAAATATATCTTTGTAATCAATATTCGGCTGATGTCTCCTCTGACTGCAGAGTATACGATTCCAAGATAGAATTCTTGCGCTTCAGTCGAAATTACTGATTGTTAGTCAAACTTTCATCAACTGTACTTCAAACGGCGAACACTCTCAATTAAATATTGAGATTTTCAATAAAATTTCATTAAAATCAAAATTAAACGAAAATTTCCAACGAACGTTTAAGCGAAGATATTTGAGACGAAGAATGAAAGATGAAGTCACCGTCCCCGATTAAGGATTTCGAGCGTCGAACCCTTCGCGTATGCAACCGGAACGAGCAGCGCGTCGAGCACCGTTGAGACCATCGAGCCCCGTTCCGAGAAAACGCGAAGTACGCGACGCGTTGAATATTACTTTTAAAGTAATTCAACTCGTGAGCCCCCGGCAAGGAGCGAAACTCACGGCGGGACAGCAATCTCGGCTTCGACGACTCCGTCGCGCGTACGAGCGGGCGGAGAATCAACGACCGCGACCGAAAGGAACGGCGATTAAAGGTGACGCGTACGAGAGCGATGTAACTCGCGCCGAGTCGTTAACAGGTAAATATAACCTACTTCTTGGGAACAGGGTTCGATCGATCTTATTTTACATTTTGTAAATAAATAAGCTCGCGTCGGGATATTAATATTTCCTGTGTCTGCAGGAAACGGTTTAATTTTATCCGTTCGCGCCGGGTGGCTCGGTCAACCCTTGATTACCGAGAGTACACCCGAATGTCGTTTCTCAGCTTGTTCTCGATCGGAATAATTCTACAGCCGATAGCAGGTCGTAGCCGAGTAGCCGGTGTTAATAGGTATTTTTGAGAAACGATCCAACTCGGTGATATTTCTGTCAGTTTCCCGGTCGCTCGACCGAACGCCGCTCAATCCCCGGCATTACCATAATTACACGGTCGCGGGCGACGAGGTCTGGTCCCCGTGGGTTGGCAAACGTCCGCGTTTCTTTATCTCCGAAGATAAATCGCGATGCAGATTTATGAATGGACCAGATACGCGCGCGCGCGATTTATATTTCTGTGCCGCGGCACGTGGGTTACGGCCTATTTATAAGAAATTCACGTCCGATCAAGATTCCGCGCCGGAGATAATGCATCGGTGTCGGTATTACCTAATCGGGGACGAGTCGCAATCGAACGGAAGCTGCGGACGAGCGTGCGTCCGTCGGGCCGCACTTCATTATCGTTATCCAATAACTCGCACTAAATATGGCAGCTCGGGTAATTAGCAGGCGAGAGGCGGAGCCGCGGACTGAATTTGCCTACGCGCGGGAACGTTACGGAAACGTTTTCCACGGCAACGCAGTCGATGGTGCTTGAGCGGCGGCGGCTCGCGGACGATCGTTCAATTACCGTTTTCACGAACGGCTGCAACGCTCCGCGGAAAATACCGATCGGCGATTAAATAACGGATAATCGTCCGCGAAATTGACCGTCGAATCATTCCGAACGAGTTCTCGCGCTTCGACCGCGTAGAACTCAATTAGGATTAATGAAATTCTCATTATTACTGGTATCGCGAAATGATAATTTGTTTTACGATCGTTTCGTCTCGCCGGAGGAATTGCGGAGCGTCTTCGGCGAATACGTAAGACGGTTCCAGGTCGACGGGAGACCTTGAGATTGACCTTTGCGTTTAAGATCCGATGTTTTAAATCCAGACAGTTTCCGAGAAATCAGGTATCTGTTCTCGATAATAAACATGCATCGTAATTGCATCTCGCTTCGAGTAATTTAATTCTCGAAGAGAAAGCACGTGCAGCTAAAGTTAACGAGGAAATCACGATAGAATCCACGATTCCGTAATAATTAGACAAATATCAACGAACTTCGATTGATCTGAACACCGAGAATTGTCTGATCCATGCTCATCCCTGGAAGAACTCTTTTTCAATAGTGTCGGGGGAGTCTTCAGGCGCAATCAGTGACTTCGTCAATGTAGCCGCACGCGATCGAGTATATCGTAAATCGAGACTGATATAATTCCGAGCAAACCGACGAAACTGGAACGCGAATGTCGGTCATCGTTTGCGTGGGAAGAATTCATCGCCGCCTTTGCTCGCCCCACGTTGATTTCGCGTTACGTGCAACGCTTAAAGAAAATCCTACTGCGCTATCGGATATAGCCGATGGTACTCAGTGTCCACGAAATTGGGATTCTTCGAATATTATCACGATTCTATAAAAACGAAGAGGACCTCTCGAGGAGCTCGTTTCTCTAGCGGTGCGTAGCTGCCGGTATCAACGCGCCGAAGCATTCCGAGCGAACGCAGTACGCAACCGTTGCCTCGACGGAATCGAATATTCCCTTTGGTCCGACGGTGGTCGTGTTCCAAGGCTGGTCGTATTTTTTCTCGGAACCCGACGAACAGGCCGTCCATTAGGGAACTTGCGAAAACTCACCTTAACGACCAATCCCTCGATCTCTTTGTCGTAGCGCAGTGCGAAATGCAGCTTGCCCGCGTACTCCATCTCCGTGGTGCTGGAACTCTCCGCGCTCTCCTGCCGCTGCAGCTCTTTCTTGTAAAGTTCCGGCTGCAACCGTTGCATAGTTAAAACTTCGACAAACCGGATTCGTTAGTTTGCTTCAGTTTCAGCCGCGACTTGTTTTTCGGCGCGAAGGAGGAAAATTCGCTTAACGTACCGCGAAACGGTGCATTTTGCGCGGGATTTAGCATTGCTACGCGTACTACTTCGAGGAACTATAAGATAGTCCTCCAGATGTTAATCGTCGGAGGTTAGAGTTCAACGAAGGACGTTCGAGCGTACCTTGATCAATCCAAGACTGGAGTCGCTGCGATTCTCCAGGTTGCAGATGCTGAATTTGATGTTCGGCAGGTCGAGCCGGTGGGAGAGCTGCCTCTGGAAGCTCTGATGCCTCATCGGGACAATGGGCAAAGTAGTCTGGCGCAACACCTATGAAAAAGTCATGCGTGATACGTTCGCCGGGTTTCAATATTTGAGAGCGTTCGCCCGGAAGTTTACCACGGGGCACCGTGGCCGGTCGTTTAACGAGCCAGACGCTTCCGCGGTCTTCTCGCGTATAAAAGTTTCACCCGGAACCTGCGTGCGCTGGAAGCCTCGAGGATAAAAGCGAGCGACACGAGATAGCCGACGAATAATATATGGGTATCTAATTTCTGCAATTATCGGTATCGTTACGGGATATCCCAGGTATCCGTCGGATTTCGCAGCTGTTGCACCGTGAGATTGCTATCTATAAAAACGTATTCTTCTGGAAGAGAGACCTTTACCGTATATCGCAAGAACTGAACTGCGGAAGTTTATGATCTGTGAAGCACAATAAAATCCCCAGCGCAGGAAGTATAATTTCACTTAATTTTCCGTTCATTGAGCGAGCGCGTAAGAGAGATTAGACTATCCTAACTTCATCTCGAGCCAGGCCTCGGTGACAAATTGATTTTCGTCGGTGCTTATATCTTCCTGGAACATCTTTCGTCGAATAAGCGCGACGCGCAGCCGGTATTATGAGTTTCTGTCGGGCATCTATTCGGTTAACATGAAATATTTCCGAGTGTCCTTTATCGCTGATACCTTCTTGTTGTCCTTCTGCTCCTGGACGTACTCGTGAGTGATCGGCTCGGACTGGAGATCCGGCAGAGAGTGACTGATACGTATGGCGTTCTGCTGCGACAGGTCGTTCTCGCTGTCGTCCTCCTTCATGTACCACCTCATCCACATCACCCAACGCCAGGTGGAAGAACATTGGAAGCTCACAGCTGCCAGCAGTAATAAAACCATCAACGTGACTCCCGTCCCGATTAGCAGCTGATAGGAGAACGTCTCCGTCCATTCATCTGCGAACAAATTCATTATACGTATAATCTTCAGTTCCGACATCTTAATCCTTCGTTTCGTCGATCGTACGCTCAGCGATCTCATATTCGCGGGAAACGTGTAATTCCTCGGCAATATCTTTATTGTAACCCTTAACCCTCGGGTAATGGGATATTCCGTTATAGCGCGCGTTTAAAAATGAATCTCCAGTGAAAGGTAAGCAACAGTAGAAAAGAATCATTTAAATCATCCAATGTAGGTTGAAGGCGCTATAAACATCTTAGCGAAACGCTATTAAGACTAGCTTTACGAAGCGCGTCAATTTGACGCGCATTGAATTTTCTAAACATTATTCAGCGAAAGTTCGCGCCGTTTGATTCGGCAATTACACGAATATGTATACTAATTGCCAATTTCCGAGCTAATCGCCGACCGAAGTGAACAGCGATTTTTCTGTGTACGTTAGAATAAACTATACAACGAATCCGTGTGAATCTAAAAATTCTTCGAAGCGTTAAAAACTTACACGACACGCGCAACCTACACGCGTCAACGTGTCGCAAGCGGAACGCCCATGTTTACCCAAAGAAAGCAACGTTTCCCTTTCAGTCGAAAGGATGAAGAGGATAGTTCGACGTCCGTGCCTTTTAAGCTCGCAATACGACACGGTGACTCACTTATTGGCGCAATCGCGGCTGGCCGTTCGTCGAGGGAAAAATCATCGTCTATCTTGTGCAACGCAGCGAAGACGATGCAAATCAAAAGTAACATCCTGCGCCCGCACGCACGCGAGCACGCGAGCGCGCACGCACTCACGTACGCCTCGGTGATTAATTGCTCGGTACACGCGGCATTGTGGGACTGCCTACGGAAAGAGAAAGCCGCGCGAATGATCCTCGCCGGTTTCGCGGCGGACGAACGCCTATCCTCGCGAGCGCGTCTCCGCGCGATTCGTCCCGCGCCGGCCATTAAACCGAGTCCTTAATGACGGGAACTGCTTCGAGCCGGCCGGATCGCGCAATAATACACCGGCCGTCGCGGATAATGCAAATAAGACGGTTTTTCCGGCGACCGTGGACGGTTCATTAGTCATTCTCGGTCCCTTTAACCGAACAATCGTTTTCCCGCGGCGCGGTCGACGCCTCGCCGCGTGCCGATTTCAATTCCGCGGCCCCGGGGGATTCGTATCCTCGGTATTATTTCAGTAATTACGCCGCCCGACGCGATTCGCCGGCCTTTCAATGATTTATTCGACGCGACCGGACTTGCGGTGGACCGCGTCGCTCCATTAAATCCCTGCTCGCTGAGAGAGGATCCCGCAACCCTATTGGGTCCATCGCTTGGATTCGCGTCGACGAGTTTGCCGATGTATTTACAGTACTCGCTGGCTGCGGAAAGGGGGAGAGTAAACGATTCTGAAAGAGTTCGCAGGAGTTTGATGTTCTAAATTGGGACAGTTTTATTCGTTGATTCGTATAGCATTTATGTTTAATGGGATCGATGACTTAATCAATACTTCGTTAAGAGATTTCGAAAGAATTCGTAGGAATTTGATATTCTATGTTAGAAATATTCTAAGTTAAGATTTCGAAAAAATTTGGAGGAACTCGATGTTCTGAGCTAGCGCAGTTTTATCCATTGATTCGTGGTAATTATGGTTAATGCGATGAGCTAATGAATACTTCATTAAAGTAAGAGATTTCGAAAGAATTTGTAGGAACTTGATGTTCCGAGCTAGCACAGTTCTATCTATTGATTCATAGTATTTATGTTTAATGCGATCAATAATTTAATGAATACTTTATTAAAGAGATTTCGAAAGAATTCGTACGAATCTGATGTTCCAAGTTAGCACAGTTTTATCCATTAATTCGTATAGCATTCATATTTAATTGGATCAACGATTTAATCGATACTTCATTAGAAATTAGTGAATACATGAGGAGAAAGGAGATTCAAGTGCAAAGAGTTAAGAGTTCCCGTAGATCCTGAATAAAATTAGAGGATACAATTTTTGAATCTTGAACACCGTATATATAAAGTTATATAGAAAATCAGACGACATCCCCGCATCATCTTCATAAGCATAATCGCTAATTATTCCTCTCCGCCGCGTCAATATTTGCACTACCAATCACGATGCCCCCGGTGATTGTCGTTCACCTGAATATCAACGCGAGCGACTTAATCTGCATTTGCTCTAGATACAATCCGGGCCGTTATTATTGCTATAGATGCCACTTACTCGAGCAGTACGTGCCGGCATTATGTGTCTATCATCAGCCCATTTGGGGCAGCCTTCCCGATAGATCGCGACAGATACCCACCTCGGTGCCCCGAGCTCCTGAAAACCGACGATCTCAGCCGACCCGATCACACCGAAAGAAAGAATCCGCCGATTGAATCGTTTCGTCGGATCCCGAGCTTCGATTTTTCTTATTCCACAGTCTCGCTGTAATCAGTTACGCTATGTAGGTCGCGGTCAGCCTCGATGCTGTTTGAACAATTGGTTAAACACGAGTACTCTTAGCCGTGAACTTAATTTAGCATTCCGGGAGCGGAAGTGAGGCAACCTTCAATTTCCTAAACGACCGAAGTAAGATCGATTGGAAGCCGATTTAGTTTTCAGAAAAATGACCGCCCGTACGTAAGTCGGAACTCCGCGTAACCCAGATAGAGAATTTAAAAGCGCAAAGGGAATACGGAGAGTGGGAATCGCAAGCGGAGCAGCTAATCCAAGTTCCGAACTTAGATCTCTCTTCGAGAATATCTCGGCCAATATTGATATTCCTTAGTAAAATAATCATCCGGCGAAGATATGAATCTCAGTAATATTTCGAATAAACAATAGCTGGTTTGCTCAGGTTACAGAAGGACTACGGAAACTGCGATTCCGGCGGAGGCTAAGTGTTCAAGTTCCAAAGGGAACGGCTCCCTCAACTTCAAAGACACCCCCTAGCTACGATAACTTCGCAGCGGATAAGTGTTTCGTGACTCGAGGAAGCCGATCCCTCCAGGATCAAAAGGAAATCACTTACGCGGCTTTAATTCAGCCGTTGGATCGTTTTATAACCGTGTCCCAGACACCTTGGGCCAGCGATCAGCGCCACGGTTTCAAAGTAGCTACCACCTACGTGTCCAATATCGCCTCCTCGCGGAGGAGTGGAATCAATATCGTTCCTTTTTACGATTTTCCGCAGAGGGTGTTCCATTAAGCGTCTTGTCTAACGTATTTGTCCTTTTTTGCGTTTTATCGGGCCGAGGGAACCAGTTATCGTAAAGCCGGCAGGCATAATAGGTCGGGGAGAAAGGCCGGACATTAAGCCACCTCCGGACCTCATCATTTTTATCGCCGAATGCACACACACACACACATACCGGCCAATAATCGCGTGACGCGGACGATAACAGGTGAAGGTTCGGGCGTAAACTCGATTTACGACTTACTACTCGGTCGCAGCTCGTGCCGGAGCACGGCCACCGGCGTACACACTTAAATGATTGATGAGTCCCGGCGAATTGCGCTTTTACCACCTTCACCAGACTTCCAGCGTTCGCTCGCGACCGCCGCGGACAACCGCCGTATGGTTTTTAGTATCCGTCGCGGGCCGCGCGAGCTCTTAAGAGCTCATCGCTAACACTTATGGCTGTACTTCGAAAGTCCCGCGAGTTAACAGGTGCTGAAGGCGATAAAAATGTTCCATTGTCGGTGATGGGACAACGCCGAAGAAATCATTAAATTCACGCCCCGCGGGCGTTACATTTAAAAACTTGTTATACGCCGTTCGGGAAAGATCGGCCATTTCTATATTCGATCACCGAATGAATAACGTCGCGCGTTTCATAGAGAAACTGGTTTCGATCGAAATAATCTCCGCGCGAGAGCCGATCGGCGCATAACCGAAGTTTATACGGCGCGACTGCTTTCGAATCGAACTGTCTCATTCGAATTTCAGGAACGGGATCGATCGGATCGAGTCCGCCTCTCGATAACCGGGATCAATTTCTCCGAACAAATACGCCGGGTATGCTGCACGCGGGAATACGGGATCTCCTGTTGTATGTCGGCTCAATTATCGATCCGCTACGGCTTTTTTCATCTTCCGCATGGGTTTCCAGCTGGCCTTGACCCTCGCATCCCGTTGCGTGGGTAGCAAGGCCGCATGGGATGGTTCGCGCGTTACCTACATACGTTTTTCAGCGAAGTAACGCGCAGGGTTCGGGTTCCGCCTTGGGATAACTGGAAAATCATTGCCGGAAGGGTGAGGCGGCGGTTCCAGCTGTGCGGCGAGCAAGTAGCTTCGGTGGTCGAAAGTCTGTAACGTTCGAGTAAAGAAAGGCTGTTTCTCTGGTAATCGTGAAATGTTCGTTTGCAATTCCGCAACAAAACGATAATCTTGTATAGTTACTCTTAATATTTATAGCTGTTTGTATTCATATATTATTTCTTGATTTACTTATTACATTCATTATAAATAGATAATTCGCTTCTAGTTAACCAAATCACTTCATTTCCCTAAGAGCAACCTGTTTCTCTAGTAAGAGTGGAATGTTCGTTAGGAATTCCGCAACAAAACGATAATCATCTTGAATGGTTACTCCTAATATCTGTCGTTACTTTATATACTATCCCTTAATATACTTATTACAGTCATTATAAATAAATAATTGCTCCTAGGTAACTAAATCACTTCGTTTCCCCAGGAACAACCTGTTTTCCTAGTGATCGTAAGTTCGTCAGCAATTCCACAACAAAACGATAATCATCTTGTATAGTTATTTATATTCATATAATATTTCTTAATATACTTATTACATTCATTATAAATAAATAATTGCTTCTGGGTAACTAAATCACTTCATTTCCCTAAGAACAACCTGTTTTCCTAGTGCTCACGTGTTCGCCAACAATTCCACAACAAAACGATACTCATCTTGTATAGTTATCTATATTCATATATTCTTTTTCAATATACTTATTACATTCATTATAAATAGATGTTTCGCTTCTAGTTAACAGAATCACTTCATTTCCCCATGGACTCCGAAACATTGATTTTTGGCCAGAGAAACATTTTCCCATCGCGTGCCGAATAAAAGTCCGTGTCCATCGATTAATCGATAAATTTCAGTTACCACTGCCGCGGTGTCCCGGGCCGGCCTCCTCGCGATTCAATCTCACGGCCGTTCTGCTACGTGACGCAATGATCCCGCCGTGACGAAATATCCATGGCCCTGACCATACCGTTCCGCCGCGCACGGTAATCTCTGACCGGACACCTCCGACTGTCACGTTTCGTCTGCATCCACCGGAATAATGCCGCGGCGATTTCGTCGTTGTCCTTTTGGCTGGATTTCATTTTCCGTGTCGAGGCTATCCGACGATTGTTATTCGCCAGGATTGATTCGGGAAGAGGTGGGAAATGCGAGGACTACTATTGCTTCTACCTAATGCGACATTCAGCAAAACAAACCTGCGATAATAACGACGCAATTCAATGAAATCATTTAACATCGTACACTTTTCATTTCGCATATTCTGCACCATAAAATCGTGCATCGTTCAACGTGTTAATATACATTACACCTGCGATTACAGCTCTGCCTCTGAAAGCTGGCAACGTAAAGATGAAACACGTCGCTCGTACACCTAATCAATTCTTCCGCAAACTGAAGTTTCCTCCGTGCCCGTTGAACAGAGTTCAAAGTCGCAAATTCACGGTAATCGAGCAGTCTCGACGTCAAGCCATAAGGGAGCCCGACGCACGATCTGCGTATTTTATAGGGAGATTAAGAAAATGTTGAAAAGATTTCCGGGGCGAGTAGCAGATACGCGGCGGGATTCGAATTCTGTGAACGGCCTACCGGAGGAAGATCCCTTGAACGATAAGCCCGGCGTACCCTCCTTCAAACCCTGGCGAGTTTTTATTAATCGTATCGATGGTTATCACGGGAAAAAGTTGGCCGAGGTGAGCGGTGCTTCGTCGCATTAATATCGGTCGTTCGTCGAGCGCCTCCTCCTCGTTCTGCGTTGAATATCCAAGCCGGAGAATTACGGTGCAATGTCTAGGTTATCGGTGCAGCGCGACGATAGACAGAGGGAAAAAAGGGGAGCATCTCGTGGTATCGATTTCGAATTAGTCACGGTACATCCCCTTTAACGTTCTACAAGTAGGATCTTTTTTTTAACGACGGTGCAACGAGGCTTCCTTGGGAAATGTACGAGGGAAAATTATATATTTACTGGAGCGGTTGACCCTCTTTTTATATTCGCAATAAGGAAGAATAAAAAAGAGAGAACGGTTATAAATATACGGGGCGGATGGCGGAGGGACAGGAGAGCACAACAGGGACTCGTAGCAATTCGCAAATCGCCCTCGCCGTTTTTCCCGGCGGTCGCGAGTCGATCTCGTGCCGGAAGACGCGATCACCGATTGTTACGTTTAATTTAATTTACAACGTTTAGTATGTACTCGTCAAACATTCGATATTAAATTCAACGAGATCCATGTAAAGCATCGAAATGATTCCACGCATCGATTAAACTGTAATCCAGATCGTGGAACGGACTTTATGTTTGAGGAGGGAAGATCGCGAAGTTTTCCGCTGCGAACGATCGGATTGTGCTAATAAATAACGCGCGAGCCGCGGGTACGAGCTAACGACGATCAGAAATTGCGGAAACCGTCGACGCCTCGGGTTCAGTTTTGAGGAAAACTTTCAAAATCGCGTCACGTGAGAAAAATTGAAGATTCGATGAAGATGTTCGTTTAAATATCAACGGGGTAAGGAATTTTATTAACCGTCGTTGGGCTTCTGGTATGTTTGAATGTTATTATACCGTATACTCGTATAATTCATCGCGACAGATCCTTCGCGAGACGCGGAAAGCCCGCGTCTTCGAGTTAAGGTCTGCGTAAACTTCACTTCTCGCTCGGCCGGTGCAATTTTCAGCTGAAGTCTCGCGCGGCGCGTCCATAAATACATATTCAAGTGGAAAAACGAGAGGCGGGAAGATTCCTTAATTGTGACGGTAACTCAGCGCGAAAGCACGATCGCCGGTATATAAATTTCGCCGCTCGGGAACCGCGCGGCCCCTGTTTAACCATTCAACGGGCCGCGATGCGACGATCCGTTCACTTAACTCATTACCGGCGACATTACTGAATTTATTCCCGACCGACGCAATTTGCCCCGTGAATGGCTAAAGAAAACATTGTTACGCTCTCTCGCCAATCCAATTTCCCTTACAGCGTCAAAAACACGGTAATTAGAATTAGACCACCACGGTGACTAAGGTGTTTAACGGCGGCGTCCTTTGAAGGCTCGAATTTCGGGACGGTCTGGAACGCAATCGCGAAACGTGATCGCGTCTCCGTGGAATAGAGAGTTCCATCGCGATTCGGAAAGCTGGTAACGACGATACAAATAGTATCGAATCTGTATCATTTTCCTCTAACGTCGCAAGAAATAAGTAGTACGGATTAACACGTCGAATGTCGCATAATTTCACGTAGCGAAATACGCAAAATGAAGACAATGTGATATAAAATTATTTCATTGAATTGTTTTATTATTATTGCACGTTTATCTTGCCGAATGCATACAGGTGGGTCAAAAAGACTAATTCCTAACTGCTTCTTTTACAATTGCTGCAAAGGTATTCATCTTTAAAAAATGATTAATAAAGCTGATGTAATACTTGAACTGAAATATAAGCCGACTGAAATCTTAATAAATCCACGTTTGTAGTTTTCATGAAGAAATGTTGGAAAGTCAGCTTTGCTCGGTAGCTCTAGTGTTGATTAAATTACAATAATTCAATTCGGTCGGGGATCATCATTAAGTCCCACGGCATTCAATGTGTTAAAAAACACTTGGATTCAAAGAGTAGCGACCGAAATATTAAACAACTGTAAAACGTTGTACACAAAATTCTAGTTTTACACAAAACCGTCCGCAGCAATCGGTCGCCACAAACCAAGCCATAACAGAAAAGAAGCTCCAGCGTCGGAATTAAAAATTTCAGCACTTATCGGTGAGAGACTACGTTAATCCGCAAAGTGTCGACGAAGAGGATGCGGCCGCGGAGGAGCAAGAGGAGGAGGAGGAGGAGGAAGCAACGTGGAGGTCCAAAGAACGCGAAACCGATGCCAAGGATGGAAAGTTTCGCAGAGAAGCCGCGATCGTCGGAAGCGGGCAGAAGTACGAGGTGATTGGTACGACTTCCGACCCCGAGGTAAATAATACTCGCAGCTTCCCTTTTAGTCTGATTAACGCTCCGGCCGCTGCCTGCTAATCCGCGGGGCTGCGCTGTCCTCGGAGCGTCGTCCCGTCGCTTCCCGGCAAATATATTTCGCTCGTTCGCCGCGCAACTTCAGCAATCTTGCTAATTCCGGGGCGAGAGGGCCGCGCGCGCGCCTTTGAATCGGCAATTTCGCGACATTCTCGCGCGGCACGTTCTCGCCCGGCGCGAATTCAATGGCGACCCCCGGCGGCCGATCCCGCGAGATCAAAACACGTCTGCCTTTCTCCCCCGCCGCTTTTTTTATCGCCGACGAGGCTATTGTTGCCTT